GGCCTTGGGAGGCCCCCTGCCTGTCCCTCCCATGTTCACACTCTGTGACTCACCCCCGGCAAGCAGGAAAAATACTTTCCCAGTGACTCCCACCGGAAAGGGGAGGGAAGGGTGTTCCCCCTTCTGTCCACGCACACACACATTGCCCTGCTGCTAATAGCACCTATGCCCTCCTTCCCAAGCCACTGGTACCCCTTGAAGCCCCCGAGCACCCGGAGGGGGACACTTCGCCTCTTTGCTCTCCATCAACTGGTTTTGCAGCCACGAGGCAGGGGTTGACCGCACTCCACCTGCTCTTGGCTTGCTAGGCATGCTCTCCTCTGGGTTTTGACTGGTCATTAGCTGCCAGTGTAAAGGGGTGATTGCTGGGGGACAATGGCAGATCCCTCCCAGGCTGGCAGATAAAGGCACTGAGCTTGCCTGCTGGCCCACAGGCTGGTGGAGTTAGCCACTGGGCACCTATTTCCATACTCTGGCTGCGAAGCATGACCCCATTTGCAAGCAGAAGCTGACAACTGCCCCATGGATGTAGTTACCGGCTCTCCTCTTGGCCCGCGGTCACCTGGTGAGCCCAGGGGTCCTCTTTCTCCATTGCTGCCCTGCAAGGAGATGGTGGGAACACAAAATCAAGACCTGCTCCCAGGAGGAGCACAGCCCTTCCTCGTTGACCGCCTCTGAGTGGGCTCACCCGCAGCCCTCCCTCCTCCTCCTCTGCAAGGTACCAGCCCCTGTCCGTGCCCTGCCAGCGCGGTGCCCGGCAGCGGTACTTTCATTTACCCGTTCTCCAGGAGGACCATCTGCGCCTGGAGCACCCTGCAGAGAAACAACAATGGTGGTCAGGTGATGGGGATGGCTGGCAGGCATGCATGGAGGGCATTGCAGGCACGGGCAGAGGACTCACCTCGTCGCCTGTCTCTCCTGCTGGTCCAGGCTCACCCTGGTTTCCAGGCGCACCCTGCATGAGCAAGCCACAGGGATGCGAGTGAGACAAGTCAGTAGGTTTCGGAGCAAAGCCCTGCATGTTTGCAGAGCCTTGGGCCAGCTCTGCTTCAAAGCCAAGGCTGGAGCAGGGGACCTATCCCTCTCACAGAGGACAGAGGATGTTCACACATGGGTGCTTCACCCACCTTCTCTCCAGGGCTGCCGGGAATTCCCTGTCGGCCAGGTTTTCCATCATCCCCAGGCTCCCCCTTCACAAGGACACAAGGCACCATCAAGACTGCATCCAGCACCCAGTGGTGGATTTTGGCTCCCAAGGCACAGAGGCCATCAGGAGCCCTGGTGCACCCCAAGCCCCTTTCTGGGCTGGGGTCTCTCCCCAGGGAACTCCCCATCCCCAGCAGACCCCCTCACTCCACCTGCCCAGTGCAAGCCACTGTTTCACAGCAGCCCACCAGTATCTCAGGGATGCTTGTGTCAGGCTTGTGGGCACCTAGTAACCTTGGGCATGCTGGGAGTCACACTGGCCAGATCTTACTGTGGGTGATGGGCAGCATCCTCTAGCACAGGCTTGCCCTCAAGCAGTGCAAGGAAACCAGCAATGGGTCAATCGCCACCTCTCCCTCTTGCAGGAGAGGGGTCTCAGCATCCCTCCTTCCATGTGAGGCTGAGCAGAGTGGCTCACCTTTCCTCCTTTGGGTCCATAAGCACCAGGATCTCCCTTTGGTCCAGGTGGGCCTTGAGCTCCCTGTTGAAAATAAAGGCAGCACCACTGAAAACCAAGCTGGTATCACTATCTGTGGGAAACTGGGCATGGACCGAGCATCCCAGCAGCCTGGCCCACAGCCCCTCAGCAGCACAGACAGGAGGGACATGTACTCAAGAGGGACGCAGGGATGTCACGGTACTCTTGCACCATGGAGCCATGCAAGCAACGCTACAGCTGCGTTGCTGAAACACTGCAGAACTGAGTGCGCTTCTGCAGCTCAGAGGAAAATGGCAGAAAAGGTGGTTGTTGGACTGCTGTAGCTGGGCCGCGGTGACACTGCTGCCACCAGGGATATGTTATCCTAGGAGCACAGAAACAAGCAGGGAAACTGGAGAAATGCAATGTCAGAATAATGTTTTCCAGAGCCCTCCAAAATCTCCAACATTTTCTGGGTGGCTGGACACAGCAGGCTGAAATTTGTTAATCCTAGGCTTGCCTACCTGGCACTGAGCTCTTTGCCAAGCTCCCTGTGCTGAACAGCCTCCAGCCAAATGCTCCTCCAGCATGCAGCTTCCCTGGCAGCCTTGTGCAATGGGGAACAGCTTCCAGGTAAGGACAAGGTAGACTGCCCTGGGGACATCCCCAAGGTGCCATGCCTGGTATGAGCATTGCATGTCTAGAAGCATATTTCCAAGTGTGGCAACTCCTTCCCACAGCTCCTCTTCTTGGGGGGCTCCCTATTTCTGTGCATCATCATTGTAGATCTGCTGTGCTGGTTCATTTGCATGCAAGGGGCACCCACAGAGTACGTACGTCGAATCCAGGTGAGCCTTTGCAGCCAGGTAACCCGGGGTATCCAGCTTCACCCTGTCAGATAGACAAAGCAGGGGTCTTTGTGAGCGGTGCCTGTGGGAAGACCCCATCCATCATCCCAGTGCCCTGAAAGGGACATCCCAGCCCTGTCCCCAGTTGGCAGGTGGATGGCCCAACAGGGAAGGAGCCCCACTGCCCCACATGGGACACTGGCTTCATTCTGGGACCCCACAATGCTTTTGGAGGGGTGTCTGGGCAAAAGCCAGGGTTCTCAGTCTAAGCAAGGTGCCCCAGAGCCAAGATTTACCTTCATACCATCGATGCCATCAATTCCACGCCTGCCCTTCTCACCCTGAAATAGAGAATAGGGACCATGAAGAAGTAATTTTCAAAGACCTTTCTCCTGCCAGACATCAACCAGAAAGTATAAATGGTGCAAAAGCAGAGGCTGACCTTGGCTCCCTTGGCTCCTCTTGAGCCCTGTGAAGGGAAGGAGAGAGATGTTAGGCCCCGATGCAGAGCAGATCCATCCCCCCCACCACACTGTGGTCCCCACACTAGCTTGGTCTGAGGGTGCAGGCATTCACCGTGCCCCTGCACACGGCTGATCTCTCCCGTTCTGCCTGGCTGTGCCCACTGCATGGTGCTGGCCTGGTTCCCAAGGCTGTGTCAGCTGCAAATGGGCTGCTCCTGTCAGATCCCTGTTCCTGGCACAGGCAGTGCTGGCAGGAGGGACGGGTGTGTAGGTATGGGCATGTACCGCACCCTAACACTGTGCAGCTGCAGGAACAGCCCAGGCTAACCAAGCAGAGGGACACAGAGACACCTCCCCCCCATCACATCCTTGTTATCCTCACCTTTTCTCCTCGACTTCCTTTGTCACCCTAGAGATGAAAGGAGAGAGAAAAATGGGAGAATGAAAACACTTGCAGCAGAAAGCCTGTGGCCCATCTGGGAAGCATGCCCGCGACCCCACAGCTCCATGTACCTTCATTCCTTGGTAGCCAACAGGTCCCATGTCCCCTGGCCTGCCCTAGAGGACAGAAACATGGTGTTACGGAGGCAGATACTGTCACCACCATCACCATGGGGCAGTTTCCCCCCAGGTTCTCAACGTGGGGTTTGGGCCCCAGCTGCCATACCCTCCCGCTGGAGGCTGGCTCCTAACCACGCTCCCTGTTTGCCCAGTCTGGGAGCACGGGATCATTGTGGAGGGCAGAGGGGTCCTGACTTTACCTCCATCATCTCCAGCCCTTCCTAGGGGTGAGGGAAACTAGACGCTTGGGAACATATTGTCTGGGATGAAAGGGAAGGGCAGAAAATCCTTGAGAAGGAAAAATCTGTGTGTGTGTGTGACATGGGGTTTCCAAATTGGGAATGCACAAGCTGAGTAACTGCACACTCACGTGTGTGGGAGAAATGCACCTGCCAAAAATAAGTGTACCTAGTAAAAAAAGGGTAGGAGGAGGAAAATAGTTTCCTCATGCTATTAGCTTATTATTTACCAAAGGTTTCCCTGTAACACTGCTGTGCTTGTCATGTCAAAGGATGCGGGAGGGCGCCCAGAGTCCACCCCTGGGCTGGCATACATGAGTCAGAGATGTGTCCTCCAGGAGGAACGGCTATTTTGGGTGAGGAACAAGGAAGCCTTGTAGCAACAGAGGAGAGGGCCACCCTACTGCCTGCCAGCAGCCACTGCTCGTCAGAGTGGCTGCAGAGGGGGACAGCTGGCCATGACCCCACTGACTACCCCACAGAAACAGGGTGATGCAGGGGCAAGGACTGGTAAGGATGTGCCTGAAAGGTCTGGCCAGAAGGGGCCAAAAAATAGCCCCTCCACAGAGTCACCAGGGATAGTCCTTTACTTACTGGCTCTCCAGCCTCTCCTTTCTGGCCAGGAAGACCTGGCTTGCCTCTTTCTCCCTGAAAAACAAGACAGAAATAAAGTTAGCTCATCATCTCCAGAACCTGTTGAAAGGAGATCTGGGAGGATGGTAGTAGCAATGCTCCGCGGATGTGGGGAGCAGATGATGCCAGCTGCATGGGAGCATGGTGTGAGTCCTCATCCACCTCTCCATGGGGCAGTGGTGGGGTGTGGAGGACCCGTGCCCCACTGGCCTCTGAGTACCCCAGTGAGCCCATCCCACATGGCCGCAGCTGGTCCCTCACCTCATTGCCCGGGTCGCCGGGAGGTCCAGGAGGCCCTCGGGGAGGCTGTGGGAGAGAGGCATGGGTTAGATCAGCCACCAAGGGACAGCCTGGGGCCATGGAGATGCGAGGGAAGGGGACAGGGGGTCTCCAAAGCCCGACTCACCTGGCACTCAAAAGAGCAGCACTGCCAAGAGAGGAGAAAACAGCATTAGAGGCAGCGGGCAGCACCAGGGCCAGGCTGCACCCTGCTCGAGGGGAGCTCCCTAGGCTGGCAAGGGCCATGCGGGGCCAGAGTTGTGCCCCCGAGCCCCTGGCTGCGGGTCACCCACAGGGGATGGGTTCAGGCACAGGACTTGGGGGGAGTGGGGCTCCGGGGAACACTCACTGATTGCTCCGTGTTGAGTTTCTGCAAGACAAGAAAGCAAAGAGACGGGGTTTGAGAGGGATAGGTGAGCCCAGG